GAACTTCGAAGTTTGCTTCCGTAGCCCTTTTACCAATTGAATGTTAACCTTTGATCTTAATATGAGCTTGTATTGTGAACCAATCATGAAATTGGCTCTTGTGAGGTTCCAATTTGTGTGGCCTACGCCTTGATTTCCAAAATGTGTGACAACCTAATAGTATGAATTTAATCATGGGTTTGAATGTGATGAGCTCCCCATGGTAGAATAAGATCCACATCAATCTAGACTGCTTTTAACTTTCGGAGTCAGATAAAAGCCATTGAGTTCCAATCAACTTGTGAGCTTATTGTAAACTTCGATAAAACATGGTTCAAGATTGGATAAACCATATGAGAAATTCCTTGAACCTTCCACTGGCTACTTAAAGGATGAAATCATCGTAAGCATAACCTGGATCAGAATCAAATAACCATGTTGGGAAGGATTGAATTGTAAGTGTCATCTCCATCTTAACACACCTGCATGAGCTGGTTAGCCATAATAAACATACACAACAGCATAGAGATAACATGTAAGGGATAAAAAAAAGCACGAAGAGGTGGAATCTTACGGTCAAAAATTAGGGTGTGACAACGGTCAAGCCATTGATAACCATGGTGGAAGAAATAAGGACATGCATGATGGAGATATGGGCAACCAATAGGATGAGGTTTCAAAACATGGCAAATGTAGTAGTGTTACCAAACATAAGAAGAAAAATTGAAAAAATAAACACATACACAAACTTCTGGCTTGTCAGGTGATACGTACAAACTTAATACAAGTTTCATACTAAGATGTCTAATGAGCATATCTTTTTGTTTTATAATGTTTGATGAGCATATCTTTGAGGTCAGGCACCTTGAAAACCCAGCAGACAAGTTTTCAGTAAATTTGAAGGAACACCTTTATTCATGCAGAAATAGGAGCTGACAAGCCTACCTTGTGTTCATGCACTGTCAGCTATGAAGAGTAGGAACCATAAGGTTGATAACTACATTCCAAATTATTACAAGAAATCAAGATATATGAAAGTGTACATACATGTGATTTTTCCTGTTAATGGCTCAAATCTATGGGTAAGAACAAAGTATCCTGGTGCACAACCACCTAAGTATAGAAAAATGCCTGAAAGACCAAAAAAGAGAAGGAATCTAGGGCAAGGTGAGATCGATGGCTCTAATAGAAAAATGAAAATGACTGGTTTCATTATCAAGTGTGGTAGATGTAAGAAATCAGGTCACAACAAGCTTACTTGCAAGGTGACACCAGCTAGTCAACGTGGAGCCACTCAAGCATCCCAACTAGCACCACAACAGGCATTCCATCAAGCAGCCCACCAAGTTACTCCAACATCACAACAGCCATCCTAACAAGCATCCCAATAGCCATCCCAACAACAATCCCAACAAGTTACTCAAGGAGTCACTCAAGTATCCCAACAGCCATCCCATGGAAGGGAAAATAAGCAACCAGCTAAGAGGGCATCTCAAGCAGCTAGTGAAGCATCACAACAGTGAACTCATGAAAAGCCAATAAATTACCTGTCAGAAGGCCAACCAAACCATTTGTACCACCAGGACCTACAACTAGATTTAGTGCATCCAAGACTGTTGTTGGACCAACAACAAGAAGGACAACACCGGCTAAGAGATCCACACCAAACTGGAAAATTTAGTTTAGAATAGGTTTTGTAATCTGACATTTTATATGTTGTTCTTTGTTTACAGTTGTTAGGTTAAGTTTGAACATGTGTCTTTTGTTCCTTTTGAACCTATTAGTAGTTTACAACACATAGATAATGGCTTATGGAACATATTTTGGATATCAGTCTATGCTGTTATGAAATATATTGTCTTATAAAACATATTGTCTTATGGCGGCAGTTTATGTAATCAGTTTATGGAATGTTGTTATGTACTATGGAATCAGTTTTAGTGTTATGGAATCACTTTATGTAACACTATGTGTCAAATGTATTATGGAATCAGTTTATGTGTTATGGAATCAGCTTATGTGTCAATAATTATGTGCAAAAAATTACGTTTACAAACATTATGTGTCAAATGTTATGTAACTGATATGACAAAGACACATACAAGTCAGGTCAAATATTGCAAACAGGTCATGCCAAAAATTATAACTTTTCTTAACATATTCAACTGATACAAACAATGCATGCCGAACAGATCATTCTAAACAGGTCACGCCAAACTAGTCAATTAAGATCAACTGCTACAAACTTTAAAAGAACTGTTACAGACAAGCCTTTAGGGATCCATCATAATACCCTAATTCATTCTAAAAAGTAATACATTGATAATCATAAAAAAACACCAAACTCAAAAGTTTTTTCCACTTCAAGATATTCTTCATTTCACTTTCACGATTCATCAGCTGTTTCCCTAATTCTTCATTCACCATCGTAACTTTTTCAAACTCTTTTTTTGCTTCAGCGAGTTCCTTTGATACCTTTTCCAAGTTATCCATCCAAAATTGCTTCTTCTCATCTCCCACATCCTCATAAAACCAACCAAAGTAACCACACCCAGCTTACATAGATCCCTGAAATTTTCGTAGACTGAAGTTCAAATATACATACTAGATTCAACTCAAACATAAATAAAACATAAATTATTTGCATACCTTATAATTTGGACAACCTCATAAATATTTTTTAAAATTCTTAATGGTTGTTGTCTTTCGAAGAACAACTATGTCTCCACAATGACATATGGTTTCCATCGTAAACTACTGCATAAGTTAGAATCCCCACTTTCTGAGTTTTTCTGTTTCAACAAGGATGAAGAACCACCTGATTTCATGTTTGCCTAAACATTAATTCCTAATTGTAAAGATGAATCTCTAATTCCAAGTTTTCCTAGGTCGAATTTGGAAATGTATGAACACGAACATTATGTGTAAATGAAGAAGATGAAGTTGCCTTGCCAACTAAGCTGCCACGTCTTCACACATAAACGAAAGTTTGAGGGTAATTGACGGAGAAGACTCGTGTGGCACTATTTAAAAAATTAATGAATTAATTTTGAATTTTTTAAAATTAAAGGACCAAAATACACCTCGAGATAAACTTAAGGAATCAAAAGAGTATTTTACTATTTATTTAAGAGAAATGTGATTGTCAATCCTAACATTACTTCGTGTCCTTTTGTGGGGCATCTATTGAGATACTGTCTCATTTGTTTGTCGTTTGTGACATGATTAGTATAATCTTGTATAGATTTTTTAAATTATTGGGTTGACGGATAGTTATTCTTAAGGACTCTAGTAAGCTTTTTGAAAATTTTATCTTGTTAAGTGGTTCTGGAAATCTATAGAAGTCTGTTATGTAATGATTTAGTCTATTTTGAGGACTAGAAATGTAGTATTTTTTGGATTTACAACAAACGAAAAAAGATGTGGAGGATATTTTCATGTACCAAAAAGATATTTTGTTAAAGAACAAATATGCGAGTACATAATCTTCTCTCCATGTACCAAATCCTCTCTCCTCGTACTTTGTCTTAAACAAACAACAATACTGTATTTTTAAAACCGTTTTTATTTAACTATAACAAGAAAAACTATTAAACATTTATGATTATTATATGCTATATGTCAACATTATAACAAAACCATAAAGTTGATGTAAGTTAAACTAGTTCAGTTGATGGGTTAAGAACAGTGCAAAAGGTGTTGATGTTGTGGTGGTTGTAGATAATACGTGTTGCTTTCATTCAATTGTGAGGAACTGAAAAGATAGTGCGCGCATAAATTTAATAATATAATATGATAAATCGATTCTATTGGATGATTGTCAAGTGGATATCAATTAAATTCTAACCAAAATATTTATGTTTAGAAAAAAACACATAATAATGAGGCAAATTATCTTATTAATTTCAATAATGACAAATTGAATGATTTAAACTTGAAAGTGATCACATAAAATCATGTTACATCAAAGTAGGCTCATTAAGATTCCTCGAGATCTGTTGGAATGTTCAAAACATCACTTCAACAAAATTATGAACTTGTTGAAGTTATTTAGGAGATTTTTTCTTTGGTCTACATACCCTTAAATATGAATATCTGACTTATCACTCTCTCAAAAAATTAATCAGAGTATAAAATTTATCAATAATAATTGATATTATTTACATATCCTTCAAGAGAGAGAGTGATTAGTTTATATTCACTTTGCAATATTATTATAAATTGCAGAAAATATTTTAAAAAAAAACATAAGAGTATATTTATAATAATAAAAAAATTCAAAGACTATTTAAGTCGGAGATGGTACAGTTGAATTTTTTTTACCAAAAGTAAATAAATAAAATAGATTAAAAACTAAATTCTTAATGTAAAAAAATAGTTAGGCAATTATTAAATGAGATGGAAAATTGTAATTGTGATTCAAAATAAAATAATTTTACTGTGCGTACTTTATACAGAATGCATGTCTTCTGATCTCAAATACAAATCCTTATCAAAATAATGGGGCGGAATCAACCATTGTGAGTTACTCGCTTCCTTAGCTTTAGAAGAACAAGAACAATTCGTCGGTCTGTGAACAGAAATTCATAACAAAAGATAAAATGCAGAAAATATTCAACAGGTCGCTCACTGGAATTGAAAGTTACAACCAGATAAGCTATAAATTCATCCCTAATTCTGCTAATGTTACAAGTGAGGAGAATACAAAGATCTTTCAGTATCATCATAAATCGTGAAGTGTATGGCCTAAAATCACTACACGTACAGGCACTTATGTTCTATCATATCGTACAATAACAAAATTGGAAAAATTTATGCCTTGCTTATCAAAGGTGAAAAATGACCAACAAATTTCAATATGCTGACTACCAATAGATTAGCAATAGCACCGCTTGTCCATATCCTCGAATGAGCAGGCATTATCCTGCATTCGCTTTTCAGAGCTTATTTATTTGTTGGCCTACTGTAGTGCAGCCTGAAGCAGGTGATAGATAGCCACCATTGTCTTAAACAAAGGTCTTTTACTTCTTACGGTTTCTATGTTTAACTTTAATAATTTTTCGACCAGACTTATCACCACCACCCGAGCCCAATGAAAAACTTCCCCCTCCTGCATTAAATTCCAGACTGCCGGTAGCCTGAAATGGAGAGGGGTTCTGTGGAACAACGTTCTGTTGACTAGCAAACTGGAAAGGACTGGTTCCTGAATGAGTGGATGCTCCAAATACAAAATTTGATTGAACTGGGGCAGGTTGTTGACCAAACATAGGACTGGATGGTGGAGTCGCTTGAACATTGTCCTCGGCCATGCTGTCCACCATACTCATCTGATCATTATTAACTGGAGCTGAACCAAAAGAAAAGGCAGGGTTAGGGTTTCCAAAAGCAGGCTGTGTGGAGGTCGAGGCTGCAGCTGAAGTGAATGAGAACTGAGGAGCTGATGCAGTGGTGGTTGATGCAAACATTGTGGGTGAACTGGTGGTGGAAGCAACAGAAGCACTGGGCGTTCCAAAGGAAAACCCAGACGAAGGTGCCGAACTAAATGTTGAACCAAACGCAGAATTGCTGGGCTGCCGACTAGAAGCCCCAAATAAAGTAGAGTTTGTACCACTATTAGAGCTAATAGTGCTGACTGCCGAAGAGGAAGCGGATGTTCCGAGTCCAAGAGTTGCACTCGAATTGAAAATATTTGTGGTAGAACTTGAAGGAAACATCGAACTCCCAGAAGAAAAAGATATATTTGTGGCAGAACTTGAAGAAGGCAAAAAAGAACTCCCCGAAGAAAAATCTGTTTTACCAGTCAAACCAAACAATGGGGATGATGCAGGTGATTGAACTGACTGGGTCTGATTAGAAGGTGCAAATCCACCAGCAGGAGACGAATGGGCACCAAACATAGAACCACTACCAGCACCAAAAGAAGACTGAGACGGGCTCGCTCCAGTTGTCATTGCTGAAGAGCTGAACCCAAAAATGGCACTCCCTGTGCTTCCACCTGCAGCAGATGAACTACCAAATGCAGTGCTGCTAAAATTACCTATTCCAGCATCTTGCTGGCTCCTAGTTTCCAGTGGTTTTGAGACAGAAGATGATACAGATAAACCTGATGATGTGACAGGAGAGGCACCAAATTTGAAAAAGGAAGTTGAAGAAGTTGCCATCACTGGGGTGGAGGAAGTTGCCATGCTAACTCCAGTGGAAGCAGCAGTAGCACTAATGCCACCGATTGCTGAAAGAGAAGAGCTACTGTTGCTAAAGTTATTTGATACGAGAGATGGAAAGGAAGAAGAGAATGAAGGGCCTGAAGCAAGGGATCCAGTATTTTGATTTGAACTGTTGCTGAAGTTATTTGATATGAGAGATGGAAAGGAAGAAGAGAATGAGGGGCCTGAAGCAAGGGACCCATTATTTTGATTTGAACTAACACCAAATTTGAATATACTGTTTGGTGGTGTCGACAATGATGCAGGTGCTGCAGATGAAACCGCTAGTTCTGATGCCCTAACAGAAAATCCAGTATTTGTAGTAGTCTCAGCATCACCACCATCAGATTCACGAACTTTTTGCATAGAACCAGTCGAACCAGCAACAGTAGTGAAGCTGCAGAAGAAGTAAGAATTTAGTACATGAATAATTGCAACACTTATCAGTAGTAAATCAAAATATCTCTGTTCAAATTAGTTTGTACCGCAAATAAGAATCATATGGCCGAATCGCATGTTTTTAAATATCCATCGTCTACACTACCCAAAGTTCGATGAATATATGCCCCCAGTAAAAAAAACCGTTATCTAAATTCGAACCAGGTAAAAAGTAGGGGTAGCTAAACATATGAAATGGAAATGGAAATGTAAAAGGTTTTAAATGAAAGGAAAGATAAGGGAGCTAAACATATGAAATGGAAATGTAAAAGGTTTTAAATGAAAGGAAAGATATACACACCACCCAAAATCACTCGGACATTATATTTTCTAAATAGACCAGGAGTAACAAAAAATTCCCACTATCATTTCTGTAAAATGGGTGTCAATATCTTCACTAAATACCAAGCAAACTCCGTCAAAGGAAAAAACAAATGGCAGAACAGACACAAACCCCCATAAAAACAGTATAGATGATGTGAAGAGAATTGTGTTCAGCGAGGTTTTCAAAAGCACAATAAAGTAACATAAACTAACCTGGTTGAGCCTCCCGGCTGAGAGCCAAAAGAAGCACCAAATTTCAGAGAAGATTCACCACCAACTATGGATGAAGTAGTAAATGGGATTGGAGGAACCTTGAAAACATTTTGATTGGTGTCAAAGTTCACGGGTGAAGCATCAGGACCGCCCTCCTTTGAGGGAACAGCCTTCTCCAAACCAAATACCGAAGCTGATTTGGCTGTCTCCTTTGACGAAGCAACTGAAGTTGATATCTCTGCTGGCGAAATAATCTTATTCTCCAAATTAAACAAAGGATTAGAAATTGATCCATTTGGTGAAGCAGGCTTGTCAGAACCAAAAGCTGTTACTGTAACCGCTGTAGTTGCAATTGTAGCTGCATTGTTGTTTGGATCAGAGATAGGTGACACCTCAAACTTCTCATCAGCATTAGGCCCTTCACCAACTTTCGTAAAACTTGTGGATGGCAATACCATAGACAATGTTGAGGGACTTTTATGTGCAATGACATCAGAACCAGAAGAAATTTTATCTACCATAGCAGTGGAGCTTCTTGTTTCTTTCTCCGCGGGAGAAGAGATGGCTCTATAAGCATTATCATCCAGGTCCGGAGAATTCTATAATAGAGGAGACAAAATGAAAAGAGAATATCATGATCTGAAGTTGAGCCGTACTATCAAATAAGATAAAACACACACTACCAAATAAAGATCTAAGAAAAAGTCAACTGCTTTACACGTAACTGTTTAGGAGTAGAACAGAAGGAAGAAACAAATATCCATGAGCAACAAGTGTAGATGGTTAGTAATATTTATTACCATCTATTCTCACTACAATCATTTAGAACAGCTTATGAAACTGCAAACTGAAGATTTAAAAAAATTACTTAAATTGATATCATACAAACTCATACCTCATGTGCACTTATATGGAATGCCTTTTTCTTTTGAGAAGGGGAAGAAATTGATTTCATCATAAAACAATTTTCACTAGACAAGACTTGATTCCTTGGCTTTGTGGTATCTGTGGTGGTTACAACATGAACTACTTCATTGGAAGGAGCAAGAAGCTTTAATGGACCATTTTCACCCTTACCTCTAGGTGAAATTGACTTCTGATTCTGGGAACTGGGAGACAAATTTCCAAATGTGCCATCCAATTTATTACCTTGTACAACTGGTAGCCTTGATTCAGATGATTTTTCTTTGGGGGAAACTAACTTATCAAGTTGCTGCAATATTTTTGTAGCCATCTCACTGGATTTTGAGGAAAAAGGGGGAAAGCTTGTACTGGGTTTAGTTCCATTAACATTTTCTTCAGACTTGTGTTTAACTTCATCGAGCATAACAGGCTTACGCGAGGAAGATGAGGGTTGCTGAGCAGCATCAATACCCAATCCGTTCCTATAGAGAGATAGAGCACTGCCAGAAAGAGGTGAGCTGGAGCCTTTAGAATATAGAAGATTCGATTTATGACGGACTCGGCGTATAGGACCAACAGATCCTATATTATTATCCACTGCTAAATTTCTACGCTTTATCCCCTGCAAAAATAAGCAGAACACACCACATAATCAAATTAAATACCCGTAATATACACTGGAAATGGAAGACGTGACTTTAAACTAAAAATGCTTATACCCCTTGTGTAGATCCAGAAAGCATGCCATGATCTATTGCAGACTGAGTTGAAGATGAAGGCTCATCTTGAACAGCACGTCCACCACCCTGTAGAATTAAATAAACCAGATCAAGAATTTGACCCAATAAACATTATGATACAAATTCAGTCGGGAAAAGGCAAACCTTGAGAGTAGAGGTTGGATAAATTCTGGCATATGGTGTACGTGCCATACTATATATTGCAGATCTGCCACGAGATCTTGGGGTCACAAAACCATTTTCATGAGCTGCAGTGTGTCTAGTAGCCCTTGGCACAATCGACATACTAGGGGATTTATATGGAAAATTTTCACTTTTTAGAAGAGTTGAATCTTCCCCGTGAGCATGATATCGCATACCAAGCATTGCTGAGGATACATTGGAATGCCGGCTCCCCATGTAAGCTTTTGCAAGCTCTGCAGGTGAAGCAACATCCTCAATAGGAACCTATGGACATTACCAAGCAATCCATAGGTTCGGAGTGGAGAAATCAGTAATTTCAAATGCACAAATTACTATTAAAAAATTGATTAAGGTTTCAAATAACGAGAAGGGAAAAAAGAATAAAGATTTAGAATTATGAATATTGTTTGATAGTTATGATTTGTTACAAAAAATAACAAGCACTTGGCCCTTTACAATGCTCCAAATCCCAACTATAAAGAAGAAGAAAAAAAACATGATAGTACCCAAAATGTGGAAACTAATCTTAAGAGATAATATAAAATAAACTAAGACACTATTCCTAAAAAGTGAACTATTCATATGAGATAATCTTAGATCCTCCAACATAATATCAAGATATTGTATGATGAGACATTTTTCTAACTCTAAGCAGAATATATATTCAAACAAAATGTATATTCAAGCAAAATATATATTCGAGCATAAAATAGTAAGACAAGTTCACGTACACTCGGAGTAACTTGTTGAGATAATACAAGATTGTTTTCAATCCCATTTTCTACAGTAGGTGTTTTGGGATGTTCCTCCTTTTGTCGAGAAGATAACATAGGTTCTGAGGGAATCACTTCTGGACTCTTCTCTTCTCCCCTAATAGGTGCATCTACAGTCCTTGACTGCATAAGGGCTGTCAAATGATCAATCTCAGACCTGTTGGATAGACCGAAAACACAGAATCAACCAAAAAAACATTGCAAAAGGTATACCACAATCAAAGAACTCAGAATGAGAGGCAATTGATATAGATATCAGGAAGAGGCAATATTATACTCATTGCAGAATGAACTTCATGAATTTACAAATGAAACACAAATTACGGAAAGCAACTAAAAATATAAAAAAGATTTGAAGGAAAAAATCGGAGACTCAAATGGTAAGCAAATCAAACTCATCTCAATAACAAATTCAACAATAGTAGTAAATGTCAGGATGCAAAATAAAAGGATGCTCAAAACATAGCAATGTATGAGAAAAAGCTCATAAACATGCCAAAGAATGCTATAAAAACAACCAACATAACCAACAATATACTATAAAACACCATCACAGTGTTTCATAGTTTATAAGCATAATAATTCTTTGAATAAGAAGTTATGTTAAGCCTTCTCTGTAAATAAAATTAGCAAATGCTCAAGAGAATTATGTTTACAAAAAACCAACAAGAATGATTCCTTATCCACAAGATACAAAACATGCCTGGTGAAAGTCTTCTGCTTTAACAGTTTCTCAAGTTCAGTTAATCCACCTTGATCTGAGTCAGAACAATTAATTTGAACATTACTTTCACCAACTGCTCCTTGCTGATTGCCAGGAGATTCATTTGCAACCTGTCTCTGATGTAAGAAAAGAATAAACTGTGAGGTGTCAATAATAACATTGTTACACCAATCAATAGGGAATATTGCAGCCCAAATGTTTCATACCCAATATAGTAACCAATAGAAATATTGATTTCACAAGCACTGCAAGCAGGTAAATGAAACACGCAAATAAACGAATAGAAACTAACAAAAAATTGAGGGAACTTTTACATCTGCAATGTAGGTTACTTAATAGTATAATCAAAACCACACCAACACCTATGGATAAAAAGCATAGAAGGATCTAACCAATATTAACAAGAATTCTACATTAACCCTGACAGAGAGCTATAATACATCAAGAATCCAAATTAAGCCAACTTGGCAATGCAACATGAATACGCTAATAAACGGTGAGCCCATAACCACAGGTTGAACCTGACTAACATCCACACAAAGCTGACTTGTAAAGTATAGGGTTCCCACCACTTAAAAGCAGAACTTGGGTCATATCACTATCCAATTTGGAACTCTCAACATACACCCTGCACGCTCAAGACTTGACATCTAGAGCTTTATCTAATTGGCCCAGCGGATTTAGTGTTAGAATTTACGCTTTAATTGCGGTCCGCCCCTGGTCGCCTTAATTGCAGCACTTTGGCTTGCCTTCATTGCAGCCCCCCAACACCTTCATTGTGTTGGGTTTGAAGGGGTAAATTTAGTCCCACATTGCTTAGAGATATGGCATGTGTTGTGTTTATAAATGGAGGCAATCATCGCCTTACAAGCTAGTATTGTAGGGTTGAGTTAGGCCCAACCCAAATTCTGAGATGGTATCAGAGCCTATCCTAGATCCATAATTGGTATTCACGCATCGTCCACGCTCTAGGCTCATAGAGGCCCGAGCGTGAGGGGGTGTATTTGAATTTCCGCCTTAATTGCGGTCTGCCCCTTGTCGCTTTATTTGCGGCACTTTGGGTTGCCTTCATTGCAGCCCCCAACACCTTCATTGTGTTGGGTTTGAAGGGGTGAATTTAGTCCCACGTTGCTTAGATATATGGTTTGTGTTGTGTTTATATGGGGGGCAATCCTCACCTTACAAGCCGGTTTTGTAGGGTTGAGTTAGACTCGACACAAATTCTGAGATTTAGAATAGACTCTAATATCATCTTAAATTTTGGTCGTAAATCTTATCTTATACCAACTACTCAAAACTGGCTTTTAATGTGAGGATTGTCGAAGCCTTCTGAGCACTACTTAAGCCATAACCATATATACAGTTAATACAGGACTCAACATGATGCATATTGCAATCCTCAAAATTATCAACTCCGACCACAACTAAACACATATAGGAATAGAAAATGTAAAAAATAAGTAAAAGCATTAATTTGGCTTTTTTTCATTTAAACGAAGTGAGGTAATTTTACACAATATTAAGAAGCTGTAAATGAATATGAGAATTACCATACATGATGAAATATAAAAACAAAAATAGCATAATTGCTGATTAAATCAATCACACCCCAAAAGAAAATCCTCAAGATATGAAAATAGTGTTACAACAATAGAGAGCATGCATACATACAGCTTCTTCTTGTAGACTGTCTTGCCTCGTTTCTTGTTCCATCCCTGTATCATAAAAAAACCACATATCAATGAAGTGTATGACAACAAAGAAGTCATGGAGCCGTGTGATTACTGTCGTAGAAGAGAAGAACAGCGATAAATGACATGAAAAGTGGGAAAAATGGGTAAACCATAGAAAAGTTACAACCAACAACATACTAGAGGTAAAACAAGGAAATATATATAATGGTTAGAATAATAGATATACATGGTATTTAGTATGTTTAAACCTACAGTGAACTATAGGCCTACATCCACAGGTAAGACAGAGAGCATTCACTACATCAATATAGATTAGAAGAGTAGTCAAGTTGCACTTGTGCCCTTGCCCCAGTACACCGGAATGCTCATTATGACTGACACACATAAAAGACTGGAATCTGACAGCTCAGTCTCTGTTTCCACCATAAACTTCATGAAAAAATTCAACGAAGAAACGCTTTAAGGGAAAAAAATGAACTTTAAACCCTCTTCCCTGTTTTTTGTTTAGACTCTGTCCTATTATCAGCTTAGAAAACAAAAATTTGCACACAAACAGTCTTGTTGCTGACAAAAATTTTGAGGAAAACTAATATTACGGTTGACGGTATACTATAGCACTTCCAGTGCAACAGCTTATGTAACATAATTGAGAACTATCAATACCATGCTATAGCAGCAAAGCAGAACGAAGGATGACCGATACAGGCTACAGCACCCTCCCCCACATCAAATTTCAGAGCAGCAGGTATAGTGACTGCTTTCGCAGCAGAAATAGAAGGCATTGCTATCACATTGCCCCGTGCTTCTGAAACGCAAAAAGAATCCATCAAACTAAACGCTAGTGCTTTTGTTTCGAGGTACTTCATGGATTTCAGCCTTAAAACACATCAGAACATCCACCTTATGAATATTCATAATTTTTTAAGATATTACAGGGATTTAAGTCTTATTTGAGACACTGACTTAATGAAAAAATATGTATTCACCGTGAACTTTGGGTATTTTTATCTCTATATTAGTGTTTATATGTATAATATGCATCATATAAACTGCATTAATTATTTAAGAATAGTGATCATGCCGCTAAGGAGTTTTTGAGGTTGCCCTTGGTTATTCCACACTATAACATTTGTTAGGCTGGCCTATGTCCCTCCACTATCCAAGATTTATAACAGCATCTACTATATAATACTACTTTCCTAAAGCCGAGAATTTCGACAGACAATTAAACAATTAGTATTGAAGAGTTTAACACCGGAAATAACAATTCCGACACAAAATTCGAATTACATTAGAAAGCATAGTGATGATAAACAATCAAACTACCATGTTAACCATTCTCAAAATATTTTTTAATAAATAATTAATAAATTAATATAAATAAATAATATACTAAATTGCTAAAAATTATAGCATGAACTAAACAATTACCTTTTCATAAACCCTAAAACGACAGCGTCAATAACAATTAAAAAACAATCTACCTGAGTCAAATACAAATTTTCAATCTAGGAGTAATAATTCAAAAACAAATTAACCAATTAGAAGCAGCCGAACATTATTTCTTGTTTGAAAAGGTAACAAACAGCATAATAATTCAAACAAATGAAGGGGAAAAGAGGATACCTGAAGAAATGGGAGGGGGAGGGGGAGGGGGAAGACGCTTTCGGAGAAGAGACGAAAAGAGAGAGTGAGCGCCATGAGTGATGAGTCTGTGGGCGGGATCAACCAGCTTCGAAAGCCAGCCGTTGTTGTTTCTGTTAGGGTTTCGGAGGGCCGTCGGGGGACGATCGTACGGCGTTTGAGTCCTGCGGAGGGGACGTTTACGGAACTTGCCTCCGGTTCCGCCTTCGTAGGGATTTTCATTCCCTTCCGTCGCCATCGAAATGAGTACGGAACTTCGAGGAAAAACGAGCGTATGGCGAATTAGGGTTTTAATCGTCTAGAGAGAAGAAGAAATGAAATGGAAAAATGAAATAATACATATTACATACTAAAAAATAATAAAAATATATTGTGAAAAATGAAAAGCATTAAAAATTAAAAAAATAATAAGAAAAAAAAAGTAAAGGTAGGGCACAATGAGTGTAAATTCAATACGATTATATTACTTCAATTTTAAAATAATTATTATTTAAGAGATTTTTACACAGACTAAAAATAGAATCATGAGATATTATAACACTTTTATTAAATTAGACATATCAATACATTAAAAGTAAGAGTAATAATTAAATGACATAATTGAAAGTGTAACAATCATTTTTACATTAAAAAGTGAAAATGACAATTATTTAAAACAAATTTTATTTGTTAAAACGATAATTATTTTAAAACGGAGAGAGTAATATTCACTCATGTTGTGTCAGTATTTTAAAATTAAAAGTGTAATTTAGCAAGATACACGTCCTCAGGAATGACAATAAACTGAATCAACTCGAAAATAGTTTGGAACTCGGTTCGACAATTAAATCGTTGAACTAAATTCATGAACCAAATGAATTGAATATGAACGAAAAATTAAGTTTGTTAACTAAATGAGCTGAACTTGAACTATACATAATTCGACTCGTTAAGTTTATGATGAGTCAACTCGGTTATATATTAGAAGGGTTATATTGTCTTTAAGAGCAAGTTTAAATCTACTATCAACACTTCAAAAACAAAATTTCCAAACTTACCAATTTGCCCTTTCCTTACACTAAATATACACTAGCAAAAGGCTACAATAGTAATCAATTAAATGCCAAATTAAATCTGATCCAACACTCCCTTCTCTTGCCAAATGTCATTCATCTATTCGATCACAAATTTTTTTCCCTCTTTCCCACATAAACCTTCTCAATTTTTCAATTTCAATTTCAAAATCATCTTCCATCGTCCCACACTTTTTCCTCTCTCTGTCCCATTTTCTCCCATCTCTCTATCAACCCTTTAAAACCCTACACCGTTGTTGCCGCCCCTCCCCCCACCTTCGTCCTTCGTTTTTCCTCTGGTTGGAATTTCGACGACAAACCGCCGTCTAGAACCACCTCGAATCTGCGACCACTTCGACGAAGGACCTCCCTCCGTCCGTGAAACCACTGTGTCTTCCTCTGCTAAATCTGCCGCCATTGAAATCTCCATTGAAAGAGGGATATGGTGAGAGGTTTTTTCGGAAGATGGAGGATTTTTGTTCTTCTGGGTTTTTCACCTGTGATGAGAGAATGTCTCAAGCTTCTAGGAAGCAGGTTTGTGCCTTATCTCGATTTTTTGTCAGGAAACTAATACTGGTAGATCGGTGTTAACTGAGTAAATTTTTGTGTGAAATTTTTTTGGTTTTATTCCTTTAGGACGTGGAACAATTAATGAAGGAGGTTCAAGAGGCTTAAAGAATCAAAATGCTCCATCAACCAAGCAAGGTATACATGAAATACTATCCCTATTCAGTCTCACCGGGAATTGGATTTCTTCTTATTTTCTTCAACTTCATCAAGTTATTTCAAGGAAATTAATATATTCATTGTTGATTGATCTATAGTTCATGGATATGGAACATGGGCTTTTAGCATTGAGAGCTCAACTTGCGGAGAAGACTAGACATTATCTTCGACTTCAGAAGGAGGTATATTCCCGTATAATCTATGCTTAAGTGAAGAGATTTTGTAGTTACTTGATATTTTAAATAATATGGATTAGAGTTTGAACACTGATGTTATACCATTTTTTGTTGTCCCAAGTGAATGATAAATTTCTCTTATTAAATGTTGTAGTTATATGACTGTCTTTCATTGTAAGCTTCTTTAACTCATTACTGTTTATCCCTCATGATATTTTTCAGCTTACAAGGACAAAGAAAGGAGAGGAAAATGTTCCTCATTTATATGAACTTGAAGGGAATGAAACTTTAGGTTCTTATTTGCAAATTCAACCTTGCTCTGATAATGCCCCAGACGTTTCAAATTATTCAATTCAATGGTATCGTGTGTCGTCTGATGGTGCCAAAAAAGAACTTATCTCAGGTATTTACTTTTTGATGATGAAAACTTGTCGAAGACAGCGTTTTCTATTGCAGTGCTTTTTTATGTTGAGCTTGCAAGTTATGTCATTTTTGTGTTTCCATTTCTATCCTTGATAATGCAATTATCTCTCTCAGGAGCTACCAAATCTGTTTATGCACCCGAACCTTTTGATGTCGGACGCATATTGCAAATTGATATTATTTCAGAAAACCAGCATGTCACACTTGCAACCACTGGTCCAATAGATCCTGGCAGGGTTTCATTGAATCATCCACATTTGATTTAAATGAATATATATTTGTTTCTATCGAAACTACAGAGGTGTTGTCTTAAGAGTGTAAGAAACTGAGACCTGTTTCGTTGCAAAATCAAGTTGAGCTTAAATTATGTTTATGCTCTTTATACAACAGCTGGTTTGGGAACCTATGTAAAGGCACTTGTGCGAAAACACGACATTGAATTCAATGTATGTTGTTACAATTCTTTTACTTTTCATTTTCACCCTTTTAGTACCATGTGAGCGAGCATCGATATCAAATACTGAGAAGTGATTATTTTGTGACAATAATATTGTAGTTGAATTTACTATTTTGCAGGTAATTGTAACTCAAATACAGTTTTAGTTGAAGGTTGATACTTCCTATCCAAATTGGTTCTTTCTGAAAATGTTTCTTAAAAAATAACTTGCATGAAATGTCGTGTCATAGTTTCAATTGACATTTGCAGATAACCATGTATCTTTATATTTAAATGCAGGTAAACGGTTTTATGCCCACAGAATCTGTTTACTTGCTTCTTCAGATGCATTTCGTGCAATGTTTAATGGTGGTTATAGGGTGGGTATATCTCCTCTCTCCCCTCCCTCGACTACTATTGATTATCTACCAAAAAAGATAACTCCTTTACTGATTCCTCTTTTCCCAAGAAACAGATTTATCACCTACTATTTTGGTTTAATGCTTTCTTTTCCATGTGAAGACTTTAGTTAGATATTTCATATTTGGCTTTTGAATTGAATGGTGAATTTAAATATGGCAATAAAAGTTGTATTGCAAGTTTAATTTAAATATATTCCATGTCTTTAATGTACAATTTATTTAATGTGTGACAGAAGAAGGATGCAAGGGACATTGAGATACTAAATATTAGATGGGAGGTCTTTGAGCTGATGATGAGGTCTAATCATATGCTTTATGAAAGTTATGTTGTAAAAGCTTTTAATGATTTGCAGGCAACTTAAATGTCATTGTTTAATCTTTGTCCAAATTTATATATACTGTATCAGTTGATCTCACTGTTGAAATTGCTCAAGATCTCCTCCGAGCAGCTGATCAATATCTTTTAGAAGGGCTTAAAAGATTATGTGAATACACAATCGCACAGGTTAGCTAAGTGAATTGGGTTTGTTAGTGCATTGTTTCCTGAACTAATATTAGAATAGATAGTGAATTCCTAAATACATGTTTTTTTGTCGCATGATGTATCACTACATAATAATATAATAGAAAGAAAATCTCTCATTACTTGAGTTTTTTGTCACAGGATGTATCACTGGAGAGTGTGTCAAATATGTATGAACTTTCGGAAGCATTCAATGTTATATCATTGAGAAACACATGCATCCTTTTTATCTTGGAGCACTTCGATAAATTAAGTGCAACGCCGGGGTATCTAATCAGATCTCCTCAATCGCACATTTACTTGCTTTTTCAGAACTCTCTTTACCTTTTTATTGTCCAGAAGGCATTTTTTATAAACTGATATATAGGCAACCTAAGTGGATTATATATCTTAGAATCTTGAATAATCTATAGGTTTAGTCTTTATTTTCTTTGTAGAATTGGCAAACATGTTGACCTAAAAGGAATCCTTATATTGAAAATTTTTGGCGCATAACCCGGTAACTAAAAAGGAATAGGTCTTCATAATCATGAATTATTTCACCTTGAGTAAAGGTTTCTCACTGATATATGGAACGGGGACTAGCAAATGGTTTTCTCAACATTTGAAGAAAAGTAATAAGCTTGGTTCTTATTCCCTTCTATTCATCTTACTTGCTTTCATTTTGACCAATATGATCATAGACTGCAGTCTTATACATAGTCGTATAGATAGATTGATGGTAGACACCAACCTTCACTTTGAAATAAGCTGGATAATCAAGTTTTAGTTGGTCAGTTTCATTTTTGAAGAGGAATTTTAGTTGATAGGTTAAAGTAGTTGTTTGGAGCATGGTTGCTTCCATATACTTCAAATTGAAGGTGAGAAAAACACTTAGAATGGGGGGTTGAATAAGAGTTTTTAAGAAATATGGCAATAAAAACAACTCAAGATTTTTATCCTGGTTCGTTGAACTAAACTACTCCAGTCCACCTTATCAAAGATGATATGCCTTTCTCCACAAGGACTTAATCCACTATTAATCAACTGATTACAATAGTAAGCACTAAGAACAACTGTCTTAGTCTTCTCAAGAACAACTGACCACATCTTGGTCTTCTTAAGGAACTTCTTACAAATTAATGTAAATTAACAAGTGTTTAAATGCTTCTAATAAGCTGTATCACAACTGTGATATTTACACTTAAGATTAAGTACAAATAAAACTATACAGTTTTATGAAAGAACAAAAGTGTATGAGCTTTGAGAGATTTCACTTTGATGCTTCAAACGTGTATATGAATATTTCTTTCTGAATGAACTAGCAACTTCTAAATGTTGTAGAAGTTCTCCTTTTATAGCTTCTTCCAATACTTTGAGTAATGTGCAGCTGAGTATTATATTAGAAATATAAGACTTTTCATCACCAAAAGGTATGGGCAGAGACATGCTTTTTGCAGTAAAAGTATGGTTGTATAAGCTTTGGGATTTGCACCACGTC